GGCTCAGAATGGCGCCGGAGGACATGGCCTCTGAGAAGCTGCAGAGGGACTCCGGATGCAAATAAGGATGTCATTGAACGTGTTGAAGGTTTCCTCTGGTTTTTTAAGCGACAGGCTGTAATAATGTTTTATCGCCTTCCGTCTTCTGGGAGACAGTTCGCATGATTTATAATTTGCACGATCTTCACATTTACAGGCATACCTCGGAGATATTGCGTTTTCGGTTCCAGACCACCGCAATAAAGCGAGTCACAGATATTTTGGTTTCCCAGTGCATATAAAAATTATGTTTACTCTATAATGTAGTCTATTAAGTGTGCAATAGTATTATGTTTAAGAAAATTGCGAGAGTTACCAAAATGTGACACAGAGACATGAATTGAACACTTCCTGTTAGAAAAATGGCGCCGATAGACTTGCTCGACGCAGGGTTGCCACACACCTTCAATTTTTAAAAAAAACGCAATATCTGCGAAGCGAAATAAAACGAGGTATGCCTGTATCACTGTTTAATGCTGAGCAGGTGATGTGTTAAAATATTCGGTGTGGGCTGCTTTTATCTTCAGTGTATATAACTCTGAAATTTTCGTCGAAGTGCGGGGAACATCGGCGTTGACGTCCTCAGGGTGTGATGATCCGTGAATCAAACTGCGCCAGAACGATCCCTTGATCGCGGAGCATCCAGTTGGATGGATCATCAGCGTTGAATTGTCTCTTTAGAAGTTAATTTTCTCCTTAATGCAAAAGTAAAGTAAAGTTTGTTCCACTATACGCCATGTAGGCGCTTGGGGGGAGAGAGGTACAGCTCCTATTAATTCTTAACCTCGGCAACAGATGGGGTGAGTGGTCAGCATCACGCCTCGGCCGGCTTTACCCCCTGGAAAGGACCCCGGTACCCATTGCAGAGGAGGCTGGGTGGAACCCAGAGACTAGAGGAAAAATCCTCTGCCCCCGTCGGGGATCGAACCCCGGTCGTCCAGCCCGTAGCTAATCTTCCGCTTGTACCATAATATGACGTCTGTCGTTATTGTAATTATTGCTAATGTTATCATGAAATTGAATTTGATTTTGTTTGTAAGGTAATTCAGTACCTTATATTTTCCATTACGACTATTGATAAGCGCTGTTAACTTGGGAAAATTTTGTTTATGCAGTCAGTGAGGGTAAGGAATCAGTCGTACTTCGTCAGGGAGAAAATCCACTGACCTAGGAATCATTGGGCCGGAGAAATATTGGATTTATTGAAATCGCAAGTAACTTAAGGAACGGCTTGCGTTGAAGAGGAAACTTACATTGTACTGGACGGACTTTTGTTTGTCTTGAACACAAATTTCCTTCGTAAGTGTCTGTATGAGTTGTTCTTCGTGTAAATGTTGGTAATTTTCTTCTGTCAGTGTGCCCCCACTGCAAATCCCCTTTTTTTCATTCTGATTTTAATGGCCTGGCCTCTTTGCTCCTTGCGTTATTTTGAGAATATTTGTGATGGACGAGTCAACAACAGGCAGCTTGTGACGCCAGCGTGCCGTGCTTCTCTGCTATCACGGCGTGCCACACGTTGTTCACAAAGTTACTTATCAAAAAAGAACTCGTAATCACCCTGTGTATTTAACTTGTATTCATGTCCTATCTTGTTTGAATACTGTTCATCTCTTCTGCGGTGACGTGGTACTGGTCTCAGGAAGCTCATCTCTGCTGGTCCATTTATTATAACCAGTGGTAACTATATGTGCCACTTACTTCAACAGTCATTAACTCCGAATTTTGTGTTTATGGGTTTCGCATGATTGTCGCTGTAAACAGCGATTATTTTCTTAAACAGCGTTAACCAGTTGATTTTTGTAATGGTGAAGTCTTGTGTTTTCTTCGCGGTACGGACTGGATTCTTAAATATTATTTGAACGAGCTTCGGCTTCTATGTAAACAGCGATTATTTCCTTAAACAGCGTTAACCAGTTGATCTTTGTAATGGTGAGGCGTTGTGTTTTCTTCGCGGTACGGACCGAATTCTTTAATATTATTTAGACGAGCTTCGGCTTCTAAGGCTTAATGAATGCGATTCCTCAGTTTCCGATATCGATGTTGATCGGGCCCAGACGGACTAAATCTCAGTAACTAAATGCAGTTAAATTTATTTTGTTTCCCAAAGTACCATAGCGCAAAGCAGGATTAAAAGAGAAGATTTCTTCAGTAGCATTTGAGGTTTTCAAGGCGGTGAGTCTGAAGATGGCTGTCTTATAGTTTGTTGCGTAATGTAGTCTGGTAGAAGTTTACCTACTTTTCAGAGGTATTTTCTGCCTCCATCATCGGGGGTACTCATCGCCCTGATGATGGAGGTAACCATGTCGGCGAATTACAACCGGACTACACGGCCCAACAACCCAGAAGACAGCCATCTTCAAGTTTGTTAAGTCTTTTAGACAGATCTATTTCAACAATCTGATCTACAGTAAATGTTTTCCGGTGTCTATACTCATAAATTTTATTGCGTACAAACTGTTCACACTTGCTTGTAGTGAGTTACATGAAGGTGAACTTTAATGCAGTCTAATTATTCCACGTACTCAATATTAACGAGAATTACGATTATTACAATTTGTACTCTGAGGAATATTTGTTGTCCGATACGTAGCGAAATGAAATTCACCTACTATCCTCACTACACGCCTTGAAAGCGCTTCGGGGAGGAGAGATGGGATGGTTAGATGTTAGATCGCAGATGGTGCTTGACAGGCTGACAAAGAAAGATTTCCAGGGATGCTTCCAGGCTTGGCAGCGGCGCTGGGATCGTTGTGTTCACTCCCAGGGGAACTACTTCGAGGGTGATGGATGAATTTAATACCTGAGATAAGTGTACGGGTTTTTATAGGCGCAGTCTGAAACTTTCCGATCGCCCGCGGCCATATTCAGATATTTGCAGCAAAGTCCCGAACCAAAGACATTCCTAGTAGCCAGTATTAGTAATTAATCTAACGTCTCTCTGTTATTTATAGACGGTGTGTCACAGGACTCCATAATTTGTAGAAATATTTATAATCCATCTTCATAGTCTACAAAATTTTATGTTCTTAATTGTAGGTCTCTATTGTAATAGTTTCTCAAAACGTAAGAATTCTTGTGTGAGAACATTTCTGAGTGTCTGTTAACATATCACACGTATGCATGATCATAAGCATGAGATAAGGAAGACGTTTTATCATTGTCGTGAAGTGGGCCCACTGTTCCAAAAGTTGAAAGTTTTCAAGTGAAAAAAAAGTGAAATGAACTTCGAATTTGTAAGTTGACGAATATCAGGCGGTTTGTCACGAGACGGGGTCAGATCGACTGTTGCTACGATGTTTGGTTTTCATTTGTTTTCATATGAAGCCTTCACTCATGTCTGAGTAAGGCCTACAAACTTACAGATATTTATTTGTTTATAGTTGGTCTATTTGTGACATAAAACCGGGAAAAACCACGAAAATCTTCAGCCAAGATGGTCAGACTGAGATTTGAACACGAGACACCCCGAATACGAAGCAGGAGTACTCCATAAAAGCCTGGGACTTGGAGTAAATGAACGACTACCAGCTTTCTTCTCAGGGAGTTTAGGTCAATTGTGAAATCGACATTATCGTGGTTTTCTTCGAACGCTGTATGAAATTTTCTTTGCATAAACATAGATTCGTGAAATTACAGACGAAGTTAGCTTCTACCTGAGACGCCATTTTTTACAGTCGTGATTGTGGCGCTACCGGTGGGAAGATTTTGAAACTCGATTGTCACGAATTACAACCCCGGGTCACATAACCTAGTCAGTTTAATCCCACCTTTTCGATTCATGAGAATTGTTGCAGTAAATTTATATATACATTTCATGTGCAGAGATTGTATTAAAACTCCATTCAGTATTTCTGAATGTGCCGTGTTTATTTCATGATATTAAAATCTTTCATTGTGTTAGTCGAGTCTTGTTACGATATGGCAACATTTTCGGACCTCCGCGTGATTAATATGGGCATTATGTGAGGTCCTAATGTGGGTCAGTGACCATATTTTATCTAGGTCTGAATTTGAAAAGATCCCAATTCTAGTCGACACTCATACAATAATATGGCGATGCTGCTTGCATATTTTGAAAAGGGGTGGCCTATATTTGGCCTTACTGTGGTGCCTGGTCGAAGTCCCGGGCCTGCGCGTTGCACCGTCATCTCGCCATCTGAAGTTGAGATTTTTTTAGCTAGTTGGTTGTTCAACAATTCTGAAATACATTTGAAAAGTTCGGAATTCGAACCTCGACGGAGGAATTCCAACCCTCCGCGTTCTGTTATGGGTCCCTAAACTTATTTTCACGTGCACACGCCCACTGGGCAAGGTTGTGGGACGAAAATACTCGTCCTGGATGGCTCCCTACCGCTCTGCTTTGCTTGTAGACCCTTAATGTCTTATTTAGTATCAGTCACTAAGATTTGTACTTTGTGCTGATGTATTGTTCCGAGTTCTGAGTTCCCTGCAGTGTTTACAGCAGACTGAAGCTTAATTTAGACCTCAGCTGTTGCAGTTTTATAGGTGGATACTAACATCTTACAGGTTTAAAAATGGAAACCATGGTTTCTCTCAACGTAGGGGATTTTACACGAGTCTTGGACGTCATAAAACTTGTTGGTAACATCCAGAATTCTCTCTCAGCGTGTATATTTAGACGTGTGGAAACTTCGCTGTTGAATGATCTGGTATAGGCTTATCGTACAAGCTGAGTTGTTATTGAAAAATTCTTTCTTAATCCAATGCGCTGAACTTAGTTACCACGTTACCCGCGATTATAGCAGACTCCAGTCGGGACAGAAGGCTTCTTATAGCTAAAGCCGTTGCAGTGTGGTTTATTACTTTAACAACTCTGAATCTACTGCCGAGGTTCTATAACGTTGCTGTGATACATTGCGAAGGATCTGGGAGGAATCTCGACGTGGGGTTTGGTCGTGGGGGGGACTCTGTGGGGCACCGCGAAGCAGCAAGATTGTTACCTTGCAGTGTTCCTGAAACCAGGAACCCAACGGCGATGAACAGTAGAAGCCGGAACGTGGCAGGTCCCGAGAAAGCCATGGCCCACCTCTTGTTATTAATCCCGGTGGGGGCAGCGGGGGGTCTGTAATCCAACACAGCACTTCACAGCACAGAACACCACCATCGGCACATGAAACCAGCAAGCAACACGACCAGCATTCGGACTGGACCCACATCAGAACAGACCCTCGGTCGCGACACTCCACCACCTCACCCCCCTCCACTAATACTTACCCCTCCGGCGCCACCCCTCCGCTCCGTCGGCCCCTCAGTTGCACGCCCCGCGGGCGACACTCTTGGCTTTCTGAGTGGCGTAAGCGAATTTATTACAAGTTCAGCTTGCTAGCTGCCCGTCACAAACATCGCACTTTTACGACGTAAAAGGAGACTGGAGGTTAGGTTAGGTTATGTTTGTGCTTGGATAGCTTTTGTAAGCGTTAATAGGACACGGTGTTGACCTTGGAGGTTAGGTTATGTTTGTGCTTGGATAGTTTTTGTACCTGTACGCGTTATATAGGACACGGTGTTGACCTTGAAGATCGACCGTCGCTGAACACAAGATCTTGTTTGTAGAGCGTAACGTGTTGGTTACACCGGGCCCTTCTGTCGGGAAACACGGTAAATAGGACAGGGTTAGGTTTTGATTGGGTTATGTTAGGTTGGGTTAGATCAGATCAGTTGGACTATGTTGGTTAGGTTAGGTTGGGTTAGGTTAGGTGGGCGTCTTCTGTCTGTTTCTCCGTCTGAGTGGTTCAGCTCGAGAACCGCTGGACGGATTTGGATGAAATTTGATTTGGACTTTATGCCATGGGGGGCGACTCTATACATGTACTCCTTAATTTCATGCGGTCAGTGGTACCAACATGGCGGACGAACGAACTTGTGAGGTGGGGTTGATATTACCGTCAACAGTAATAATTTTTTTCAAAAAAGAAACAACTTTGGTGTCTCAGATTTTTCTATAATGTGAGGCAAGCTGGGAACTACGTTAAACAAAACAAATGACTCGACGAGGATTCATTCCCATGACCCCCAGCGTTAGAGTACGCTGCGGGCGAATGAACTCGCATTTCCGCCATATTGCTGTTAGTTTACACAATTTAAAGACATTAAGAATGTATTTGTGTTGTTGGAAATTGAAGTTGAGTGAAAGTTGCGTACATTTTGTTACGAATTACGCTAATGTAGCTTAGAAATGAATGCGCACGTCACCATGTGGTGGCAAAGAACCCACTATCACTTGACGTAATGTACTTGATTTTAGGTTTGGTCGCTGTAACTAATGAGCTGTTCGAATTAGGTATTTGTAAAATTACGGCTCATTGACCTAAGCGTTCAGACGAGTTATGTGTAACATTTAGAGACGTGAGATTGAAATGAGGCATCGAAGTTGTGTCTATTACAGATTTAACCCCCCCCCCCCCCCCCTCCGTTCAATATTCCGTTTTAATTCCGTCCTGGCCCTCACAACTCCCCCCGCTCAGTCGTTCAGGATTCCTCCGGAGTCTAAGAAACCAGACACATTTATTTTCCACTGCTGACAGCTGAAGTTCACCAGTCAGATGGTTCATGTTACGGGGACGTCGGATTCGAATCTCTGTTTTGTTCGTGTTTAAGCGTTCTGAAGACGTGCGGTTGGGATTTTCGCCTCGCCGCCACGATTAGACCAGCGAAACATCGAGCAATCTTCTCCATTTAAAGCCTAAAATGAGAGACCTTGTGATCAACGCATTCTTTGAAATTTCACAGCGATTTGATTAAGTTTAATGTGACCTTACGATCTTCACTGTACTTAAATTAACTCCGCATTGTATCGCGCCGAGGATTTCGTCTTATTTCAACGCCTTCTAACGAATCGCAGAACTGAAATTCTTCCACGTCCCCTCTGCAAATGCGTTTCTGATGGATTAGACGACATTTGATGTAGATCTCCCATGACACATGTAATTTTAAATTATTCGAGTGATTTTGGACTTAAATCCGTTTTGCGATGGGTTTTCGCGTGCTATGGTACTATTGTACTACAGAAACCGATGTCCAGGTGGGTCAGTGCGTGCAAAGTCCTCATTGAAGACGGTTTTCTCAGTCACTCCAAGCGAATTCTGGGCTGTGTCTTCAGATGAACGAAGACCTCATGCCGGACCCCAGGTAGATGGAAGCATCGTCGTTACGCACTTGTCTTCTTCGCCTGTGCCAATTTTTCCTTCGTCAGGGTGAGGATCGGGAAGGGTCGGTCTCCTCCGTTTCATGTTTCCACCCAGGTCAGTCCGTGCGGGATTTATGATGGGCAAAGTGCCACCGGGGCAGAGAGTCCCTAGGTCTTCCCCCCTGGCAAGGTCACTCCGTATCCTTCCACCGAGACATCTCGCCTCTCTTTGAGTCTCCTCCTCGTCGTCGAAGCGAACGTAATCTCAGCTCTACCAGGAACTAAAAATCTCAAGGACAGTTTTCATGGTCCTGACCTCTGTTTCTGTGGTCTCGGCTTTGAAACAAACAATTCCGTTCTTCTATCGCGATTACTTTCGAAGCTGTGAGAAGTGCCCCCACAGGGTCTCGAACTCTGGGAACTTTATGGCTGTTTTACAACCCTGTGTCCTCTTCCCGGTCTCATCGGACATGCGTGCTAAGTTTGGTACAAATTGGTTTATCCGTTCTCGAGCTGCAGGCTAACAGCACCAATACTTTCAGCTTCGTTTCGGATATAAGACAGTTGTTAAGCTTAAAATCATGTTTTAAGTGACATCTTAAGTCACATTTGATGTGTCTGATGTAGATAAAAATGTAATTTGTACTCGCTTAATGAAAACCTCGGAGTGGAAGTCCTCAGGGACTAGATCCGTGAGACTGCAGACATCAGGGATCTTAAGGCCCTTTGGGAAGCCCTGGGAGGGGGGGATTCCCAGGAAATTGATGTAAGGGGATAACTGAATGCGGATCCGGCAGCTTTGTGGCATTTTCCCCGTGCCGGAGAGTGAAGTATTTTTTATTTATTTAGTGTTCTGTCTGACGACAGGTCCATATGAACAGGATCCTTCCATCCTTTTCTCGGACTGGGACCTGTTCATATACGTTCTTGGCAGATGATCCAGAAGTGGTTTGCCATTGCCTTCTTCTGTGTGTGAATGGAGTAATTGTTGGGATGCCACGGAGGAAAACTCCGTGTTGCCTAGACCACGGCCTTGCCCAACACAAGTTATAAATTCGGGCACCGCCGGGAATCGACCCCGAGACCCCAGGATTACAAGGCCAGCGTTCTAACCGCTAGAAGTATTACGTTACAACAAATCGTCAGTGAGTCTTACTTAAAAACCTGATGGTTACTTGGATTGCCAAGAAAATTTCCCGTGTTTATGGACCTCGAAACTTCATCATGGCCCTCAGTCACTCAAGGTAAATGCCTGGCAACAACCGTTTCCTTCCATATCCCTTCCAATTCACTATCAATTCGACACTGTACTGAAGATCGCCGTTAAACAAGCTACGAAAACCTTTATCTCAATGCTCACAGAAGCCCTTGAAAGTATTTCTCACGCCTTTATTATTGTTCCGTATACGCCGAGGTATCTCGTGTGTTTAACAAAAGAATGGACGAACGAACGGGGAAAAAGGTATTTCCGTGGTGGCTTCGTGGACGTAGGTTTGTCCAGCCCTCTCGATCAAGTGGCCAAGTCAGTCACTTGGCGAGGTTCGAGTGGCGGCCGGCGATGCAAGCGCCAGTGTGGTTGCCGACTGGGTCCCGCCGGTTTATATTTAGTCCCCGGTCGGATCACGCCGCCCTTATAAGGGCCGCAGGCCCACGGCAGCTCGCTGTGTCGCACACTGACTCCACGCGGTGTACTAGCCGTGCCTCACCACATGAGGCCTTTGGCTGCTGTTGCCCCACGTTCGATTCCTATTGGTGTCCGTTTCATGCAAACAATTGCATTCTTTGGCTGCCAGAACTTAATTGGATACGATTTTATGCAGGAAAGTGCGATTCTTTGACTGTGGACCAGTGAAAAGATTTGTCTCTGCAGTGCATTAAACCCAAAACGTCGCTGTATATTACTTATCCTTCACTCTCTGCCATACAGTAGTAAACTCAGTAATGGCTGATCGGATTTTATTCAAATTTGTATTCCTTTTTTATCGTCGGTGGCTTTCCTAAAACCGTACTTTTTAATTTCCTCTAATTGTTAGTACCAACGTCACAGAGGATGATCTGCTGTGATGTCATTATCCAAGACGTCATCACAGCTGCTGCCATCTGTCTGTGGCCATACGAAGTATTAATATAACGCCATCCATTATGATGGAACACAGACGATAATTAATAAATTATTATGATATTGCTGGTTGTTGATGAAGTACTTGATGTCATACTCGTTTGGATGTGGTGTAAAGAATGCCTTGGGTTGTTTATCTTAGTGCTGGGTGGAGATGAGTGGTTTTTGTTGCAAACTTGCCATGTCTGTACGTGTGCTGTAATGATCTGGTTGTCTTTCCTCTGGTGGAAAATACTCCACTATGCTGTGTAGGAGGTTGGTTGATGAACCCCATTTTATTACATTCCAGATTACTGCAAAGCTAATATATATATATCTTGTAACTTCACAACTAGGTACTCCATGTCAGAAATTGGTTCTTCGTCACGTATGAAAGATGGAGGAATCAGCAATGAATATCTTGAAGATGACTGTCTTCTGGGTTGTTGCATCGTGTAGTCTGGTAGGTGTCCACCAACGTTTCAGAGGTCCATGCTGCCTCCATCTTCAGGGCGATGAATAAGCCATGCGAGCGGAAAGTGCTGGAGTTATAGGGACTGGACTGTAAAAGGAGTAGCGTAATCTTAACCAGTGGGGACTCGTGTCTGAAACGTTGGTGGACATCTACCAGACTACACGGCGCAACAACTGAAAAAGACAGCGATCTTTAGACTCGGCATTGTGAAAACCTGAAATCCTACAAGGAATGTTTTATTCAGACCAACTTCTGAAGGGAGTTGAGATTGAGGAAGCCTGGCATTTTGTGTGCTTTGTGACTCATGGGTCGAGTGTGCTGACATACCTGGACCCATCCCAAGATAAGTTCTGATCGTCAAATATCTTTATGTAATTCGCGTACCAGATCATTTGAAATGCGCCGGATAAACTGCAACAAGTTCTTTGTTTCTGTCCCGTACAAAAAAAACCACTTGGAGGTGACGTGCTCTCTACTGTCTTGTGTACCTGCTAGAAAATGTTAATGTTTTTGGCAGTGCCCCAGTTAAAACAGATAGCACACTGAATGCTCCTTGTTTTTTGCTACGTAGGTTAATTTTAGGTTAATTTTATTGAGTAAGCAACTTTTCCTGTTGGCTGAGTGCAATTCTGTAATCTATGCAATGTGATTGTCTGTCGAATTGTATGAATTGCATGATCTGGGACTCATTCCACATTTCTCTCTTTAGCTAAGTCTTTATATTTTTTAAAATTATTCATTTTTTGTGACTGCTTATTTGAAGGAGAAGCTAGTTTACAGTTCGCTGTGTATCAGGGCGTATTAAATTTCATTTCTTTCTTCTTATGAAACTTTGTAAAATTTACGCTGAGGTCATGTGTCTGGTTGTTAAGGTAGTAGGCAGCATGACCACCGTGCAGTGTATATCAGGGTGGTCCAAATTTCCTCTTCCGTCAGGCCAAGAATAGTGCTTTCGTTGGACTCGAGGGCATAGTTTCTGAAAACTTGGCTAATTTTAATTACCTGTAACAATACATATTCATAAATAACAAATTATCATACTGTATGCTGAAATATCAATTTTATTGAAATTTGCATACAGATTATGATGGAATTATGTATTATTTTAAATTTTCTCCAGTGGTAGCTTGTGTGTGACACAATTTTTAGTTGGAAGACTCGGTTTGAAGGCGAATCGCACATGTGGCACTTGTACGCGAAGCAGCAGACGAGATATCACAAATTTTTGTTAATCCTTCATAGTAGAAAGCTCGTAGTAATTAGTAACAAATTAACAGATAATTTTATGGGTGTGATCGCAAGTGGTCTTGGGAAAGATGTGTCCTGCGGACTGCCAGTTGGACCGTGCTTGCGGATATTGTTAAAAAATCTCTTAAAATGTGTGTTTTTTTTGTTAGTGATTGTCACATACGTAAAATTCTTCCGTCTCATTTCTCTGTTTTATCTGGTTTCTATACCTCCGAAATGAAACCAGTTTTACGGTGCAAAAGCAACCTTTGTCCACTGTTTAATTCTTTGAGAACCACTTAATGCGTATCTGTAAGTGATATATGAGCATCGTTGTTTCCTTGTGTGGTAATCATTTAAATAACGGAGCATTGGCCAGTAATTCAGTTTGTCATTTGGTTGGCTGTCATAATAACTCAGCAGTTCCATTATTTTGGTGGTTTGTTCAAAGGAAAGCCCAGCTGGCAAGTTCTTTGTCAGTGGGAATCTTTGTTCGTATATTAGTCATAATAAATACAGTTTATTTTAAAACGGTGTCATATTTAGGAACATTTTAGTGTATTGGTGTATTATATTTATAAATCTCTGTGATACTATTTGTGTGTATTGGAAATGCCGACATGAGCATGGCACGAATGTTACGTGTTTTGAAAATAGATGGGAACTGCTTTGATTGGGCCAGGAATTGTGTGTTTGCCTTCAAGATGACTGCGAAGTTGCTCCATGTTGTCTGGTAGATACTGATTGGTGTTTCGGAGGCTGTAAACAATTCTGAAATATCAAACAGGGAAAGGGAGATATTTGGACTGTTTAAAGTTTAAATGTATTTGAACGAAATGCATTTAATTTGCTATAGAAACAGTCTTAATTATGTGCACAAGGAAAAACAAAATATAAACATATGAAACATTCATCTTTTATATGCTAAATTATTGAAATTACAACTTTCTGCAAAAAGATGGCTTTTGGGTTGAGTGGAAAGTCTATTTGCATCTGTCACATTTTCCACAAGTACACATCTTCCTGCTTGTCCTGCTGTAACACATTTTTCACCGTACGATATTCTGCACTGTTGGCATTGTTTCTGGTCACCTCTCAAAGTCAACAACAGCGAACCCACATGTGTCATTATGTCTGTAAGTATTATTAAGTCTCACACGCTTGTGGTTTCTAAGTTCGTTTCTACGTACTTTCATTGCAGGCTTTTGTTTCAGTTCATGCCATTGCTTGGCATTTTTCACGTGTTCAGATGGCGTTAAATGTGAAACAGAATTCCTTTTCCTAAGTGTGTTTTGTAGTGAAATTTTTGCTTCGTGTTTTGCTGGTACTAAGTTTATCTGCAATGTTTTTCCCTTAGAATTTGGCATTTACCACTTGTATCTGGTATAGAAAATGAGGCATCAGTGAGATTTCCCTGTAGCACAGTATTTTTGGCTTCTTAAAATTCCACTTCACACCTTTGACTGTACACATTATTGCTTTGTAGAATCAGACCATCCATGTTTAAAACCGTGGGGAAACTACAAAAAGGTGGTTCAAGTAGCCCCCTGAAAGAAGTTTGGAATAGCTACACTGTTCTGAAGTGCCATAAGTGAGCTAAATGATGAAAGGTGGCTGGACCAGTCGGAGTTGTATTTCTGAGATTATGCTATAAGTCTGTAAAAAAGTTCCGTCTGTGTGTCCTTTTTTTGTTAAAAAAAATTATACCTTACGTTAGCTACTCCTGTTCTCACAATACAGTAACATTTCAAAAATTGCACTTACAACACAAAGAGCTTAAATTTTTTGTGGCAACAAAATGCAAAGAACTCTATTTAATCCAACAACTTTCACACACACACTGGTCCTGCACGTGCCTTTTAATGGCAAAATTGCAGAGACCTGGTGCTGCCACCGAAGGCACAGATCAGGGGAGAGCTTACAGAAGCCCAACTAGTCTCGTGGTCAGAATAACCCCACCTTACCCTGTCTACCAGGCTACAATGTGCAGTATCCCATATTACAGCCATGTTAATACTCGGTGCTGTGAGAACCTATGATCTTTATTGAATGAAATGTTATTCATTTGTTAACAGGCTCGCAAACTCGAAGAGCATCGCCGAAAGTATGAACGCAAGCGCGCAGAGAAGGAAATGAAGGAGAAGCTGGACAGGGCTCGCAGAGCACGAGAGGAGCACGTTAAGGCAGCGAAGAGTGCGGGAGCCCAGGGCGATGATGAAGGATCTGCGGGACTGGGCATGGGAGACTTCTACCAGTTCCTCAAGGACCCAGAATTAGTGCAAGCTTTTCAGGTAAACAGATGTTTTAAGCTTTGTTAGTACATTGGTATTTTTTGCGAACCTGTTATTAGGACATTTATATGAAGAAACATAATTAAAATTTCAGTCTCATACGATTTAATTAAACTCATAAACAAAACAATAATATGAAATTGAATTTGTGTTTTGTCTAGTGCCATAATGTGTAAATCTGGGATAGCTCAGTCAGTATAGTGACTGGCTATGGACTGGACGACCAGGGTTCGATCCCTGATGGGAGAGGCAGAGGATTTTTCCTCTAGCCTCTGCGTTCAGATTGGCTCTAGGGCCTACCCTCCTCTACAATGGGTACCGGGGTTATTTTCTGGGGGTAAAGCATGGCCAGGGGGTGACGCTAACCACTCGGCCCCATCTAGTGCCGATGTTAAGAAGGAATTACTTAATTTTTTTTTTAACTAGAGCAAGGTGCTCCTTCTGGAGCGCTGTCTCTATCTGATATTCTACTTCTTTACGTCGCTGTTCACAAATTTTTATAGTAGATTTAAGCATTAATACACCGTAAACTACATGCCTGACATTGACATGGAAACAACTTCTGCTAAAAGTTGTACCTTATCAGATGTTTTTAGAATGTGCTTTTGGTTTATTATTATATTTTCCGGTGTTGATTTCACACAGGCTGGTCCATATCAAAGTGATATGCACTTTGCTCAAAGGCTGCTCATTGAATGCGACCCTGAATTACTTATCTTAATAGTATTTTCAGGGTTATTAGTGTGATGGCAGATGGTAGGCTGAAGAACATTATTTTCTGTTGAAGATGACTGTTTACGTTGGTAAACGTCTACCAGAATACATGATGAAACCGCCCGGAAGGCAGTCCTCTTCATATTTTGCGTTGTGAGAATGTGAAGCGTCACTTATTTTCTGTTCTTTCTGATAAGTGGCTCTAAAATACTTGTGGTCATTCCTTCCGTCTCTAAAGGTTTTTGTACAGTAACATTCTGCCTTCCGTGTGTATAATCCATTGTGAGCATGACTTCTTTCGAGTTGGCATATATTTCCTTTGTAAAACTGTAACATATTTTTCATGTGCTTGGTGTTGGTAGGTGTGATGTCTTTTCATATTCAATTCTTTCTTTTATAGAACTGTTTTATCTCATTTGAGGAACGTCATCGTCTCGTAGTTCTTTAAATATGAATTGTTTATTGGCTGTTTGCCTCTTTATGAAACCCTCAGTCATTTAATGAAAAGAAACTCTGAAATATTCAAATTTTTTCTCTCTAAAATAATGGTTTGAAAAGTAGTTACACACTCAGTATTTCAGTATGAAACAGGATTGGAAGTAAAGTGTACTTATAATATTTAGTGCCTCGTTTGTCGTACTGTCGTTTGTGATGCTGTGTTACAGGTTGGCTTACTAGCTAAATAATCTGAAGGATTACCTTTTTCTTCATACTCAGTCTAATTAGCCAGTTGCTTCTGCTATTTGACAAAGCAGCTGTGATTGGTCGCCATCTCGAGAAATTATACTTAGTGTGCGTATTTGTGTGACATTCAGGATCCAGAGTTGGCAGCTGCTTTCCAGGACATCACCGCCAATCCAGCCAACTTCGTTAAGTACCAGAACAATCCCAAAATCTCTGCTGTTATAACGAAGCTGGCCAACAAGTTTGGTGCAATGCCTGAAGCATTTCGTGGTGCATTCCCTGGAGGCTTCCCCCCGAGCGGTGGTACCAGTAGTGGTCCAGGAACCGACACCGGTGATGATGTGGGACTTGACTGAACGAATCGTTGGGATTAACGGTTGGTTCTGACATTCGTTACCGTCTGCTATTTCTCTGACACTTCCCTCATCCCTTGAAAAGTTCATAACCACTACACTTTTTATAAAGACGCCGCACTTTTAGTTGTAATTGTGTATTAAGTATGTGGCAAATGTTATGTCTAATATCACTGATATTTATATTTTTGCCAGAGTTTCAGTGCTATTCAAGTTCAGAATGCATTTTGGGTTTAGGAAATCTTCGAGTAGGGTGGCAGTAAGCGCATTGGTTAAGAAGTTGGTGATAACAGTGTTCATGGGTTGAAAATATTACGGCTATTTTGTCAGTAAAAATAAAAGACCCCTCAATGTTTTCAAGGAACATTGTACAGTCTCAGAAAATATGCAGATGCCAACTCACATGGGAGAATTTTATGTGGAATGATGTGGTATTGTTTCCAAATAGAATTCAGATGCCACAATTTCTTCATGAGGGCAAGAGGACTGACTTCTGTGGTCAGTTCTGCGTTTTTCTTAGAGGAAAATCCCGTGGTTCCGCAAAAACACGTGGTTCAATACGCATCATCCGAATGGCACGGCGTGGCGTGTTGGTTTGACTTGATTCTTGTGCAAGGTACTAAAAATACAGACCATTTTCTCCTTGATCTTTGAGAATGATTTTTCACAGTTCTGAGAGATATGGGTGCCAGTTTAGAGGATGCATATTTTTAAGTGGGACGAGGTCAAACCCCATACAGCGAATGCTGTACTGGATATTATCAGTGAGCGCGTTCACAACTCATTTCGGCATAATAAATTTCTGTATGTGCTGTATCTGGTTGCTTCAAGGTAGCGTATTCTCTGTATCTTAACCAGTGTGATATTTTATTATTTCATTCGCCAAAGATTAAGCGTATGGTCCGAATATATTTATGATTCAGAATATTAATTGTTTTCCCATCGCAGAATATGAAGAGAGAGATACTGTAAAAGTCACATGGTCCAAAGGCAACTTATAATAGTTGTGATTTTTGAAGTTTTCATTGTGGTTGTAATTTAGACTGTAGACTCCTGGGTTACGATACTTAATCTGGGTTGGTACTACAAGACTACATGCTCATTATGTTAGTTATAGTATTTATCTTCCATCCTTGATGAAATTGCGCTCTTCGTGAGATGTTGTGTTTGAAAAGTACTTCATTAAACATTATACGAGGATTGATAACAAATTATGACGAATGACATCACCTCGGTAGGATATATGCTAAATGGGAAAACTGTGACAGGTGGCGTATGATAGGTACTTTTGCATGCGCTAGGAGATTCCACCACCTGGCATCATTCAGTATGAACAGAAAGTGAAATTTGTTCAGTGTGCGGAGTATCAATTTGAGGAAACAAGGACTCAAAGCTCCCATTTGAAAATGTCCTCATTGCCAACACTGAAAAAGGCACGTCAGTCGAGATCGTGTGTGAAGGTCGTGTTGATTGCATTCTATGATATGGAGGGATTTGTTCATTCTGAATTTGTTCTGTGTGGCCAGACTGTTAATTAAGCGTTTTATGAAGTCTTTGAACGTTTGAGAGAGGTTGTGCAAGGGAAAGGACCGGCGGAACAGTCGGATCCACGTCGTGCCCCGCGTCACATCCCGTTCGCCAGTTTTTGAAATGTTGTGGTACTTCAACCGGCCTGTTCCCTGCATGTGACTTCTGGCTGTCCCCATATTCATAGAATCAATCAAAGGGATGTCATTTGGGATGACTGAAGACATATTTCCAGCCTGATACACCACTGTCTGCTGGTGGTTCCAAAATGAGACTTTGACAGGGACACTGGAACAAGTATGTTTGTGTTGGAGGGGGGGGGGGATGCTGGAACAAGCCTTGTACAAGCAAGTCCAATAACTGACCATTATTAACTCCTTCGTAAAGATACACAGCGTTTGGCAGTGCAAGCCAACATCTGGGAATTTATTAATTTCCAAGATAAATATTTACACAGACACACCAATTGTATATTAAAATTCACACTCACTCAGCATATTCAAAACCCATTCTCGTAGCGATTGTAAACCACGAATTATTCTCTAATTTTTTACATGGGAATAGGTGATAATCCATCAAAGATGGCAACATATTCCTCGGTTAAATACGCTCATTCTCGAATTCAA